GATACTGTGGTCACTTTCCATGTAGCATCAATTATGCTAATGCTAGCTGCCTGTCACGTTCTCTCGTCCTGGCTACACCTCCGCTCTCTAACCCCCCCTTACCCACCCACTTTGATGCATTTTTCAAATTTCGCCTTGGGGCGGAGTTATCTTTTCACAGGGGGGTAAGATACACTTTAAAGGCTACATCCACACTGCAGGCCTTTTCAGTATGTGGTACTAAATCAGATACATATCTGATATTTATTGAAGTGACTGCAGTCACATGTTTTGTTTCATCTGGCTTTTACTTCAGTGAGGTGGGGCTGAGCAAATCGATCCACTAACCTCGAGTCATGCAGTTTAAATCTTGTAGCTCCACACGTCTTGAGCTATGGAACAGAAGTCCCGTTGTTTCAACTTTGTTCTTTTAATTTTCCATGACCTGGACGACTGAGAATCCACAGAAACAAATGATAGCAACATCCGTTGAGGACCATATCGATGCTAAAGTTGCCCCATCAAAACCTTTCTTTTAGTACGTTGTTTTGTACCAAAATAAAATGCTGGACTGGAGCACACGGTCAGAGTCCAGCAGGTTCAAATACAAACACTGAACTAAAGAASCAGGTCAGATAATTATATAATCAACTCTGATTGAACAACTTCAGAATCGACATGCTAACAATTAGCAGTTCCAGAGATATGCCTTGATTTGTTTTCATAATTAGGATATTATCATTGATATTTGGTCTGAGTTCTATTTCATTTTTAGGTTATTTTAATGAGGTATTTACTGCTCTTGTTTTTTCTTCATAATGAATCCTGGAGCAGCTGTCAAATGACTCGGGAAGATAATCAATACAAACCCACAATGTCTTTGACATGACCTTGAAACACTCTTGGTGTAGTTTAGTCCAGGTGTAGCACCAACTCCTCAGAAGGTCCTGGGTTCGATCCCCGGTTTGAACCTGCAGTCATTCTTTGTGGAGTTTGCATGTTCTCCTCGTGCTTTCGTGGGTTTTCTCCAGGTACTCCGGTTTCCCCCACCCCTAAAWACATGTGCAATATGTTGCCTTCAGGCCCAGGCCTCCCTTGAAAAAGAGATCTGTGATCTCAATGGGATTTGCCTGGTTAAATAACGGTGAAAGTAAATAAATAAATTTGTTCAGGGGATCAGAGATGCTCAAAGCCAACAGCTCAGGGGTCGGACAGTGCTAGACAAAAACACATTATGTAATATGCGCATTATGTAAAAGAACACAATGTCATCTCAATTTAAAATGAAATTCATAAAAAAAAAGAAAATAAAAAGAAAGATCATGGCAGGCCAGATGGAAGTCACCCGCAGGCCGGATGCGGCCCACAGTCCGCTAGTTGATTAACCCAAGTTTAGTCCTTTCTTGACATCAGTTTAGATGTTCATATTATCAATTAAACACATATTTTAAATAAATCAAAGATTAAACACATCGTGTTTTCTCCCATCAGACTCGTCAGTTGGTGGCCGTGTGTGATTCCAAGCTGCTCTCCTCAGCCATCCTCACCTTCACCACCGCCCGCTCAGAGTTCTCTCAGCGCAGCACCCCGTCACCCTCCTCCTCTTCCCTCTCGCCCTCCTCTCGCTCCCCGTCCCGCTCCCCCTCTCGCCACCCTCCCATCTCCCCGTCTCGTGTCGCCACCTCACCGTGCCGACAAGTCGCTGCTCCGGAGGGCGGCGAGGGGAGTAAAAGCAAGCGAGGCTCGACGCAGGCTGAGCTCCACGAGGAGGAGTGGGTAAGACTAACAGACTCTTATCTGCCAATTGCTGCACCTGTTTCGTGTTCATCTCTGATCCGTGTGTGCGTGCAGGAGAAGGTGTGGCAAAATGTTGATAAAAGCCTGGAGTGTGTGATCCAGAGGGTGGACCGGCTGCTGCAGCGAGACAAAATCCAAAGCGACAGCAGCTCTGAGGACGTCTTTCTGCTGGCCAGTGAGGAGCTGAGTGGCAACAAGAAAGGTTTCAGTATTTGACAGAAATGTTTATTTGTAATGAATATAGGGATGGGTACAGAATTCAATAATTTTATACCGACCAAATTCTGTCGGTACTACCGAGAACCTATTCACGTAACATCAAACAGTACCATGTTTCGGTACCTAAACGCATCATTGTGACCGTGTTGGCGTAAGAGTGGTGAGTTTTTCATGCTTGTCCTGAACGCAGAATAGCACAAGAGCGTAATGACATCAGCACCCGCTGCTTCAGTAGAGTTCAGTCTGAACGTAGCTCGAAAGCCTCGCAGCTCCTGGAGTGAAACTCGCTGAACCTCGCCTCTGGATAATTATATTGTGAGCACAACATTCGCTTGCTCAAAGTAAATAAAGTACCGCCACTTTCTTTATTTCATCCACCATTAAACAGAGACTGGCAGAGGAAAACAACAGAGGCGCTTCCCGATAGTCTGAACCCGTCTGACCTGAATGAACACAAGCAGCCAACTTGAAGCATTGGTGTGTTCTGGATGCTGAAAACGTAGCTTGAATACTTTTTTTATTTTAACTCCATCCTCTTTTGCTTATTTGATTTAAACTTATTTGCCTTACATGGACCTCCATCACACGATTTTTCTAGCGGGGAAATGACATCAATAGAAATACGTGGAGCTGGATTTTAATTTGTGCAATAAGACAAAACAGACTCTTGTTTTCAAGAGTTTGCACTTTAAAGAAATAAGTTACACAACTGATGTTACAATACACAGAGTTGGATGTTGTCTTGATACTTGTTAAAATTTATATATTGAGGAATATGTTAAAAAAAATTTATTATTATTTTTAAAAAAACAACACACACAAAGTACTGAAAATTGGTACCGGTATCGATTCCCAGGTACCGGATATTGGTACTGAATCAATTCAAATGTCAAAGGTACCCCTCCCTAAATGTATGAGATTACCTCTTTATTAAACAGAGACCTCTGGATACCACCTAAAATAAAATGTTTAGGTTTTTTTACTCATTGGAATCATCATCATACGATGTGACTGAACATCTACATTCTGATTATCTGATTGTCAGCATGAATTTACTTTAATTTTTAAACTTTGGATAGATTTTTTTGAAGTTTGTGTATTTTGCAATGGGGTTCTGTGGAAAGATTATGAAATAATATCTTACCTGCTGTAGATGGCTCTCTGATCAACCTCAGTTTGAAGAAAATTTTAATTTTCTATCTGGCAGTCGAGCTAATGTCTAATTTGAGGTGTTAGATCCTCAATACAGTCAGAATTAAACTTTTTTTTTCAAACTGAGATTGTTCAAAGAACTATCTACAGCAAGTAAGATATTAATTATTCATAATTATTCCACAAAACCTCACTTTGATTTATCACTTTAAGCAAAAGTAGAATTTTATTTTGAATGTTTTCTGCTCTCTTATTTGCAGAAAGCATCCCAGAGGTGGAAAAGACATCTCCAGGTAGGAGAAATGTTGATTCCAGGAGTTTTTTATTTACTTCCTAGTTTCTTTTATATCTGGGTATACACAATGCTGAAGGGGAGGCACGTATTTTCAGACGTAACTTAAAACACTTCTTATACTTTATGGAGTTGTTGTGTTTTACCAGGCGAATGGAGCGAGGCGCTGTATCCTCTGCTCACCACTCTGACAGACTGTGTGACTCTGATGAGCGACAGAGCGAAGAAAGCTCTGGTGTTTCTCCTGATGCAGGACAGCGCCCCCACTATCGCCCTGAGCCTCACGCTGCAGTATCGCCGTGATGTCGTCTTCTGCCAGACGGTCTGTCGGCTTGTGACGCCGACATCAAAACACCAACATTTACAGCTCTTACAGGTTCAGACACTCTCTGTGGACGTAAATGTTGAAAACACTGATTTGAGTTGTTTTGTTGCAGCTGACTTCTCTGATCTGCGGCTTCGTTCTCAAGCTGAGGAACTGTCTCTGTGACTCGGGCTTCCTGCGCCAGCTGCACACCATCGGCTTGCTTGTTCAGTTTGAGAGCCTGCTCAGCACATACGGTAACGTGTGTGAAACAGTGTGTGAGCACTGATGCTGGGTTGGTGATGTGCTTAGTCAAGAAAATAATAAAGTGTGTAACGCTGAAATGGGTTATAGTAGATGTTTTGCATTGAATCTTAAAGAAAACATCTATTAAGATATAAATTTCATAAGAAATATTAATAATGTGAATTCAAACATTCACATAAATAAGATGATCAATTTTTTCTTCTGTATGTTTTTGGCACGTGTCTGATTCCACAATTTTTGTGCAATTTCAGCATTCATATTTTAAAACATTCAGGACATTCTGGCAATAACTTGGTATTTCAGTAATTTATACTTTTAGAGATATTTGGAGGGTTTTGGGGCACATTAATAGAGCTGTCTTCAGCATCTTTAAAACCCTTCAGAATAGTTAAACCTTTCCTGCACGTTACACCTTTAGTTCTGGTTTTGCTTTTTAAACTTTTTTGTACTAATTTTAGCTTCCTTCAACTTTTTGCTAATATTACATTTGTTCTGCCTTTTCAGATACTTTGCTAATTACATTTTTTCTGTGTGCTTCTATCAGCTGTTTTCTGCTAATTTAAGCTTTTTATATTTCTTTTAGCTGTTTTCTGCTATTTAAGCTACTTTTTAGCTGTTTTCAGTTAATTTTAGTTTTTTGTGATAATTTTAGCTACATCTTTCAGCTGCGTAATTCAGCTAATGTGCTATTTTTTTCTTTGAGCTAGATTCAGCTTTTTCAGCTAATTTTCTGCTAATTTCAGCTTTTCATACATGTCAAGTTGTATGTATTGTCTGTAATTTACACAGATTTTGACAGAATTTTTTGTGAAAATTACTGATTTTTGAGGCTTGTCGTCGCAAAAAGCAGAAACACGTTGGAATAATGCCAGAAAAGTCTGCGGGTATGATAATCAAATATGATTTAATTATGAGCGACAAACAAACAGAACTGAATCAGGAAGTTCTGCATGATTGTAACTAACTCGTCAGCAGAAAACAGCCAGTAATATAACATTATGTTAACACCATGTGACAGTTTACAACCAATCACAGATTGCCAAAAATACTGTCCAGCCTATGACAGGGCTCCTAGCTCAAAGAGTCTGTTATCAAACAAGAGAGTTCAGTCCGTTGCGGAGTCCTGACGTCCGGAAACAAACAGACTACGAGCCGAAATGAGCTATCAGAAAGATACRAGTGATGGACAGTGTCAAGGTGAAACAGATATAAATAATTAGTCCATGACAGGCTCATTATACAGGAAAACATCCAAAGGGGTTGACGTGTATGGCTTTTTGACTGTTTTACAACAATTTGTAAAGGTTTTCTACATATTTTCACTTTTTCTGCWAAAATCTTTCAACATTAAGCATTCAGTTCTGTACTCATGTGTTTTGTTCTGAAGTTAGTGAAGGTTTTTAGGAAATTAATTTATAAACTGCTGACGTGTTTTCCTTTTCAATCATTTATATTAACACACTTTATACACCAGAGGTCCGTTAATGACAAAATAATGTTGTTTACTACTACTACTACTACTACTACTACTACTACTACTACTACTACTACT